TCGTTTTACCGAATTCCTCGTTATAACGAATCATATATGACTCCCCCGTGCCTTCGGTATAACGGGGTTCGACTGTAGTTCAGAAATCATGCCAAGTGCATAAATAAGCATTCATTCCTTAAAATTCACGGAGTTACACAAGACTCAGAAACAAAAGAGTACATGATTGTTATGCAATATTAATAAAATATTAACAAATTGACATGGAGCATGAAATTAAACCATTTGAGGGATATTGCAGGGTATCTGTATGATATTCATGGTGCAGGATTAGTGCATTGTGATCTTCATGGTGGAAACATTGTTTTGCATGACAGTATTCCTCTCATATGTGATCTTGGTCTGTCTCAATCAGTGAATTCGCGCGAGTCAAATTCAACCATTCGAGGTGTTTTCCCCTTTGTTGCACCGGAGGTCTTTCATAAATGCAAATTTACTCATAAGTCAGATGTGTACGCTTTTGGTATCATTATGTATTTGATCGCTACTGGTGAGCCACCTTTCAGAAATAGGCAGTTTGACAGAGATTTAGTATGCGATATTATGGGCGGACTACGACCATCGATGCCTGATTCCGCACCGGAGGAATACAAGAAACTTGCCGAGTGGTGTTGTGATGCTGATCCTTATAAGCGTCCGGATGCAAGGAGACTTTACATTGATATTAATAGTCTTAGTTTTAAAGTGGACATGGACGATTCTGATGACAATATGTGGAATGCTATCTATCATAACGATGTAAAACCATTGTCACGTCTGGAGAAGGAGAGTAAATATTCTAGTATACTCTTACCTACTGGCTATTATTTGGATTCAGCTGCAGGTACTGTATGAAGACAACAATTGTTTTAATGAAGTCAAGTTACAATGCTAATATTAACATATTCCACTACTTATGATTTAGTGACTCAAACAATGTAAGTCGCGGTTTATTTTGCAGTTTTATAAAGAGTTTACTTCTCTTCTGATTAAGTAAATTAAATAGGCCAATATGAGTTGAGTTAAACAGACATGAAATAAAATCGCGCGCATTACTGTTAAGCTGCCTTTGTCGGGGTAGATTATTTGAATATTGTATGCAAGAAAAATATAGTGAGTACATTATTTAAAGTTTATGAAACGAGCAATGAGTTCGCTCCCGAATGGAATGTTGTCATGTCAATTGCAGCACCGGAATGCACGTTTCGCGACATGGTTTTCATATTCCAATTTTTTTTCTCAACTCTTGAATAATTGTATTTAAAACGTGGTAACCGTTTCATGACTAGAATGCAGACAAGATGCGACCAAGCAGAGCCCACGCCTGCTCGAAGTCTTCCGATTGAAGAAAATTTGTGACTTTGCTGTAAGAACTAAGACTATGGTTTATTACGCAAGTGACGAACCATCAATCCACTCATATTCCTCGAACACTCTATGATATTGCTTTGACAACACAAATATGTGCTTTGTTCATATCAACCACACGAAATAACATTCTGACTGAACATATACGCAACTAATGATACTTTCGGCATCTTCGGTTATGCCTCCATGTGACCAGAACCAACGCACATACTTTAAAACGAGTTTAAATGTCTTAATAACGCGGGCTTCGAATCTATAGAAAAAGAAAAAGAGAATTAGCTGACAGGACAATTCACTGTAAGGCACGACGCGATGGTCATAGCCCATCCATAAAATAAGCGAGTGTCCTGACATACTTGCAATTATCCAGTCTCTCCAAACTCATCTTCTGTACTTCTATGCAGTAGCCTTTAGCGTTACTGAAGTCGTGTTTCATATATCAAGCTCTAAGAAGTTGCATCCAACCCAACTTCGCTAGTAATATTGTTATATGCAATATTTCGAACTAACAAGAAGCGTAGACGATAGAAAGACGGAAATAACCACGTTCAAAGGTATAGGATACAAGAACGAATTTCGATTTTAACTTTCCCAGATAATTTTAAATACATTATTATATTAAGTACACAATCTGTTAAGTAATATTCTGTTAAATAAACTATTGCATTATTAATAACTATATTTTCTGCTTGTATTTAAATAAAGTAGAATCAGCAGAATCGTAGCGATATTATTATCATTATAACCATATTGTCTCAAATCAACACGATTACTCGTTTCCCCGTTCTTTCTAATGCGCAATCCCTACGCTCTGATGACTTCAAACACTTCGTATTCATCAATCTTGAAACTACCCTCGAATTCTCTAAGACGCTCGTCGTAAGCATGTTTCTTGTAATACCCACTTTTTGGATCGAACGCTCCACCGATTCTCAACTCGCCCTCGCCAAAACAGAAAAAACCAGCTTTCAAGCCGCGCAGAAATTTCTCACAGCCGAACGATTCGAGCAATATTCTACTCACTTTTGCAGTGGATATATCACGCTTGTCCTTGAATGCAAACAAGAAACTATCATTCTTTCCAATATCGTCTCTAGATAAATACCCACCAATGATCTCATGGGTCTCTCGTATGTTGGCAATAACAAACATGGGCAAACACCAGTCCTTTATAGGGAGACGAAAGCCCATATCTGTAGCACGATACAATAAACGAAGTTTATAGGTAGTCGTCGAGTCGTCCTCTATCCAAGACGTTATTAGACTAGCGTGTTGTTTGGTAATGAGCCGAGAAACCCAAGAAAAGCGTGGCGGTGCTAATAGAGACACTTCTTGCGTTGAATTCAGTACTGGCTGGCTCTTGAAATGGGTCAAGATAATTTCTCTCAGAGGAGAATAAAACATCCGAGAAAACGGTTGGAGTCGCTCTATAAACTGAGCATGAGAGAAATCAGAATATCGGATTAACGGAAGAAGATTAGAGAGAGTATTTCCCAAGGCATTAAAATCTGCTTCACTCCATTCATCTGGCTTATCATCTTGAATGCATTCCGTATTAGTTATCCCCCATTTAATGACCCAGTTCCATATAACGACTTCCTCCATCACTATATCGTCCATCTGTAATATTGCTACCAGAATGTCTTCGTCCAGAGCCTCGAAATCATCAGACTCGAAAACAAGTTTCGGTTTCATCGAAACCAATTTTAGACAGTATTCTTGAAGCTTCGCGGCGGCCTGAAGATTAAATATTGAATTCAGAACTTTGATCACTTTTGGACAACGGTTGTAATAATCAATTCCATTTTCTATTATAAGATCTTGAATGTAAGAGAACAACTCTTCCAGCGCTAATTCATCAGCTGTTGATAAAAGGTCGAATAAATCAATGTTTGCATTTATATATACTTCGCCGGTGTATAAGTACCTGTCATACAACAATATTTATCATTCATCGTTTTTTCCGAAATGTGAACTTTTCCCATCAGATTGATGTAAATAAATCGCAAGAAGGCTGGGACCTGGTAATGTGCAAATTTATCAAACGGTTTGCTTAACCCACCTTAGAATAACATCAAACACGTCAACAGTCGTCCCATGTCTTTGAATTACGTATAGACCTTTATTCTCGTCTTTCTTTCGCCATTTGCTTGATAAAGCAACTCTAAAGTATTGGCATCGAGCGCGAAGAATTATGGAATGCGCATGACGATTCTGTCCATCACTGCACTCTATGACTACATCGCAGTCATCATTTGAGTCAAGTAACGTGCGCAAGTCGTCGAAGAGTGCAGTATGGAAAGTTTTTGATATCATTAGAAAGCTTGCAAGCAAGCAGGACTGGTGTCGTGTCGTACGGCAATTTAATGATCAACGTCAAATCACGTGATGTTGAAGTTACAACAGTAGTTTTGTAAACGCAAAGTGTTATTGTGATAATTGTTGGGAATAACTTTCTGATACATTTACAGCATGCCGACAGATAGACAGATAACGACTACACCCCAACCGACCAAGCTCTCAAATGTTCTATATGACTTTTCATTTCTAATTTGTGCTTTTACATTCGTTCTTCTTAGTATCTATTTCTCCAACATGACCTTTCTCACTCTTCTCAAGTCCATTCTTAATTCCGTTCTTCTCACCCACGCTCCACAAGCCCGTTGTATCATTTAAGCAGCCTGGATCAAACACAAAATTAAAAGTACTCTTATTTTTGGAGGCACCATGCTCTCGATCACCGTTTGGCGGCCTTCTATCTCGTTTCTTGGATTTTGCCTTCTTGGCTTGTATTATATTTAACGGGTGATAGGGTGTAGGAGAACCGTCTTGATAGTATAAGTAAGCCTGCAGTTCCCCGCTTTCGAGCAATGCTTCGATTTCTTCATCGGATGTGGGAAAATCATCTTCGACGAACCGAGATCTCGGAGCGAATGGTGCAACGGGTCGAGGAGGGTTATATGGCGTGAGGTTGGGATCGTTTATAGTGTGGCGGTTTCTACGTAGCGATCGAATAAAAGGAAAAAAAAAGAATAAACTTTCGTGTTTTAACGACAGACAAAAATCATTCACACAATTGACCATTATGTACCTTGGCGTAACTGAAGCCTTACCGGGCTTTTCGTTTTCATTGCATGTTTCGGCATGGTTAGAGGTATCCGATATACTTGCACTTTGATGTTTTTGCATGGGTTTATGGCACTGAACTTTATCGGATCTACAGATTTACAAACAAAGCGTCTTCTCTCGTTAAAGCTGTGTTTACAATAATGGTAAATAGAAACGCAAGCATTCGAACACATTACGCGGTCTCCGTTGAACAGCTGTCAGCGGAAAGACATAAATGTCAACGATAAAAAGACGTTGAATTGAGCAACGTTGGAGATGCGAGTACTCACAAGTTGTCAGTTTGCGGCGTCAGTTTGGAATGTTCGTACACAGTTTTCGGACGACTAAGGAATACACGTGGCAGACTTCTTAAAGGGGAGTCCACAAAATATGACTTTGAGAACCAAGATCAAATGTGGCTGTTGGCTTACGTGAAAATTTATAGAACCCAAACATCGATAAGAGTGCACTGGGTTATGAATAACATTGAGCGTAATCTCTGTCTTCACAAAATTTAAACGCGTAAAACTATTAATTTGGCGCAGCAAAAAAATATGTACTACAATTAGTTGATGTCTTTGATGCAGGTGGCAAACTACAAATATGGTAATAGTAATGCGCGCGAAATTTTAGGCAACGAGCGCAAGTTCCAATTTTGAATGTATTAATGCGTTGTCTTTCGTGAATCAAAGGATTAATCGTGACATACTACTACGCTAAATAAACAAGCAAGCTCATCTTAGACGTAACATTCCCATCTGCTTATAGTTCGCCATAGACAACATTCCCACCAAACACAGTCGCAATCACACGGGTCTCTATAATATCTTTTTCGGGAACTTGCATAATGTCGCGATCGATAACAACAAAGTCTGCGTATTTTCCCTTTGATATAGATCCAAGCTAACAAATGATATATAGATTTAATGGGAGATCACAACACATACTCCATGACAAGATATTGACCAAGCAAGAACTTACCACATCCTCCGCAAACGCAGCATATGCAGCATCGATAGTAAACCCACGTAATGCTTCTTCGCGAGTTAACTTCTGTTCTGGAAACCATCCTTGCTTCCCATGCGGCTAGACAGTTAAGGTTTAAAATAACGTTAATAATTGATTTAAAGGAGAAAGGGGATTTTCATGCCCTTTTTTTTTTTTTGAGAGACAATTTTTTGGTCAAACTCACCGAGTTCCCGTCTGTCCATTTTCGTGTGATGGCAGCGTAGAATCCAAGAAATGGATTCGCCGCCTCAACTGGAAAGTCGGATGAAAGAGGAAAGGCGGTAACTCTGCAAGCATATATGTTGGATATTTTAAAGGATGTTGGCCTTATGTTCTCGATTTCACTACGAAAGCAAAGTGCACGTGTCATACACTACCCAGCGTCAAGGAAGGATCGCCAAGCATACGCGCCCTTGACCCTTTCCTTCCCTATTCTCTCCTCAGCGTATGACATGTCAGACGTTGCTGTATTCCAACAGGGATAATTGTCCGTGCTCAATAAGAACGCGAGATAAAAAACTACAGAAAACAAGCATTATATTCACCGTGTGTTGGTTGCATTGACGGTATGATGCCCAGCTTAGCTGCACGTCGGATGTCATCTAATGTCTTTGAAAAAGTATAAGTTCTGTTATCTCTCCACTCTGTCTTTTTTTTTTTCGCTACTCACTCATCGCTTTCGAACCGTAATACAACAAAAAACGACATATACCAAAATCTGGGCATGCTCTATCCTGAACCGTAACGCCTTTCCGATTCGTCTCGTTTCCTGTTCCAAAATTTCGTCAGACAGGTCAGCTGCACCCTTTAACGCGAGTGTTTTAAATACTTTCTCATATGCGTCAATGATTATCTTGTTTGCACGATCGCCTATGCAGTGAGTGTTTATTTGGAAGCCCTGTGGTAAAACAAAGCGAGGGGCGATGTAGAATTATTCATTGAGGCCATAGGAACATCAAGCCACATGCCGGCAGCGTATTAGCTGATCGTTACCAAGGCTCACCTTGGACACCCACTTCTGCATGACGTCATGGAGGCTGTCTGGATTTGAAAGGAGGAGACCCGTTTTCGTGGGATCATCTTTTGGAAATCATTGGTCAACACGTTGGACACATCTATATACCGAGTGTTAATGGTCGGAGAACATAGATTGGATGACCTTCTGTCTACTTACCACAGTATGGCTCGAGCATTGCTGTGACAAAATATCATTGCATTAAATAATAAACCATTTCGAGCACATCTCATCATTATTACAAGCTGCTATTGGTTCTTGTTTACTTTATCACCCACTCCGTTCCCAAACAACCTACCAGCACCCCAGCTGCCGAGCGCTCCATCCATAAACAGCTTGACACTTCTTACTGTTAATCTACCTTTACCATATCCAATAATCATGTCAACCTTGTCTCCACAATACTCATTAATCTGTGGACTTTCGACCATGGCGTAGTTGCGGATATTGAAGTCGTCTGGGTTTCTAGCTATCACGCTGTTATAGAAATGATGGAATAAGAGAAAATCGTCGTGAAGAAATGATCGAACCGGACGTCGTAAATAACAATAAGTAGAAGAAATATACTCTTTAAAGAAAGAAATGTCACCAAGAGGTACTGATGCATCGTGCACACCCGTCAGACCGACAGAGTGTATGTGGGAGATGGCTGCACGCAATTGGGTCAACTTCTCTGTTTCGGACAGTGGCGGGGCCCTTCGGACTTTTTAAGGTGAGCAGTGATGTATACGATCAAAGAGTTATGTGAGATAAAAATCATTCATGGGGTTGTTCCCAACAGTAACACCCCGCGCCACATTGTACAGAGTCTATTAACTCGTCTCCAACCTTGTCTCACTTCAACGGTTTCACCCCGAATTATACATACTAACAAATTCCATAGCGTTATCCACGAAGATGCCAGTCTTTTCGTTCGTTTCTTTATCTCTCACAATTTCTCCTCCCTCAATACATTCTGGCATATCAGATAAAATGTTCATCACTTTCTCATTAACCCAGACGACATGACCGTCGATACGAGTTAGGAGCATATGGCACGTAAACGGAGTACCGAGATCGGAGAGATCTTTCTGATATTGAAATGTTAATGGAAAGTCGGAAAGGTTGTAGGCGATTAACAATAGTTAAAGGGTGAGCGGTACGAATGCCGAGTGATATTATACAAGAGTTGTTATTACCCAATGAGGAAATTCTTTCGGTTCCCAATGCATTTGATCCCATCCAAAACCGCGAATCCAGCTAGATTCATTTAGATTGTCTTTATGGGATAAGATGTATGCTTTTACCCGCGATCTAGCTTCTGTAAACGATGAACTGGAATTAATTGTCATGTCGCAAATTTGAATAAACCAAGCGCAAAATATGATTTAATTGGAAATTAAATTTAATCTAATATCCAGCTACCACTTGCCTTCGATCGATTTGGTTCCGGTGAGGTCTACAGAGGTCAACAACTGCCCGAGATACATTATGTGCTAACGAGGAATAGACGTAGAGAATTTCTGCGTAAAAAAGAAACTGCCTTTTTGAATAGCTTATATCAAATACCGTAATACTCACTACATGAGCATCAATTATGCCTGGTAGAATTGTCTTTCCACCAGCGTCTATTCTCTGTATAGATTACGTCAATTATTATAAGCGAATAGATAAAAACATTCTTAGCATTAACAAGTTCATGTTATAATTAGTCTTGGCCGCAATACCTTGTCTACCAATTTCCACTTCTCCAGAATTTCGTCCTTCATTCCTACATCCAGAAACACGCCATTTCTGACAACAAAAGTGTCAGCTTTCTGCTTGCTAGCATAATCTACGGTATACACGTTCGCATTATAGACTACATATGTGTTTTCGGCCGTTTCTGAGGTATTACTACAAATAACGAGAGTAAAAGCAAGTCATATTGAGTACATAGTACTATACGCCGGGTATTTATTAATTGGGTAAAGCTAACAGTTTATTTCAACGCGATGTATCATTGTTCCTTTTTTAAGTCTATTTTTAGACCTACATAACGCACGTGCGTTTGTAGATTCGTGTTTAATGCGTCATTTTGAAATGCAATCGTTATACTTCCGAGTTGCATTCTACCTCACAGCATTCAATTTAAAACAACGTATTATAATTATGTTAACTCACTCCATTATTAAGCAAAAATAATTTGTTCAAGCAGACGAAACGCTGTCACATTTATTGTTGTGTCTCACGGAAAGATTTCAGGGTACAAAAATGCGCAGATCCTGATATTGACAACTTGGTTACAACCAATAATTGTAGCACATATTCATTATAATCTATTACTATGATACGTCAAGACATTTGTACTTTGCCAGAATACGCTAACTTTACCAACATGCAAGATGATACAACCAAATTGAAACGAATGCAACATGGCTTGGGGGCATTATCGATACCCCTGCCCGAATTTAAGGTGGGCATTGTGGCTACCCCGAAGCACAACAGTGCCATGTCAAAAGTCATGGACACCCCGATTAATTGTGAATAACGACATAGTAATAGTGACGCGTTAATATTAAGATTAATTCACAAAAATTGCGATGGGGTCAGTTATCGTATCTACAAACTTACTTAGTATGAGAGCATGCGTTACTTAACTAAAAATACCAAAATTTGGGTTTACGCGGCTACTTGGTTAGATTATTGTGACCCGAAATAAAAAGATTCGCTATAAAAACTGAAAGGAATTGGGCTATTTTACGAAAAAAGCTTTGCTAACTGATTTTATCCAACAGACTTTATCATTTTAAAATGTTTGCTCTCACAAGTGAACTATTATTAAATTATTACCCTTGGATATTATTATTATTATAAAATTCACAAAAACCAGCTGCATATACTGTACATACCATCAATCAGAAAACTGATAAAGTAATCAATTTAATGGTGCCGAAGAAAATCTAAGGCTAACAAACAAATTGGCCAGCGTGACTATGCACCAGAAATCGATCCTATTATTAGTATAGGGAAAAAGAATCACATCGGATCCAAAATTTTCGTCTTAACGAAATGGTACTCGAAATTCTTAATGAAGGAAAGATTCTACGATAAGAAATTTTTACCTACAAAGAATAACACCACGGAAGAGATCTACTAAAAAACGCAAACAACGAAATGAAAATCAAGGCATAGATGATTGTGATTTCATTATTAATAATAACGAGAATAATATTTAGATTCGCACCAGAGCGACCAAAGAATAAGTATTCTCCCCATGCAATCACATCTGGTGCTTTTACTAGCGTTATTAATATTTTCAAGAGTGCGCATTTAATAAATAATAAATTTATGCTTACGAAAAATTGAATTATTTTACATGTTTGACTCTTGATTGTAATTGTGTCAATGTGAATCAAAGCTTAACGAATGCACTCGAGCAGTCTTTTATCAAGACTAATTTTTTCGTCGATAGGTCACCTGACCAGCGGAGGCCTTGGTGGGAAGCTTTGACATTAAATTGTTTTCCTTAAACTTCAAGTTTTCATCATAATCATAAGTTTTTTTTATCGATATTAATATCCCTAGAGAGTTTGGGGGTATCATTAATTCTAAGAACATAAGGCACAATTTTTTCTCCTTGGGCTTTCTTTAAAATACTTCTGATGGTATTGTATTAATATGTTTTTATTTCATATAGCCATAATCCTACATTGGCCATGTATAATTTTTAGATAGTATAAAGGTTGCTACATAAATTTTTACAAGTGATTACTGTGATAATCTAAATATTAGTCAAATTAGTTAACATCAGTCTCTCATTATGTCACATAATAGAATGTTCGGTTTTGTTGCATTCTGCCCCAATTCATTCCTATGAATTTATGGAGTCATACAAAAGAGCACATGATAGTTACGAATGCCTTTTAAAACTCTCATGGAAACGAAAAACCTCCGGTCCTTGCGTATCCGACTAAGATGTATCGCCAACTCTTTCATGACATGACTATGCCATTCCTAATTTCTGCCCGAGAGTCTGAGCAAATACTTGGCTAGTTGCAATAATGCGTTCACAGTTCTTTGCGGTGATTTGTTAATGCATTCTTTGGTATCATTGCAATGCGACGTTTTGTAGTTGATATTTGTAGATGATCCATTGGTAAATAGCCAATTTGGGTACTATCTTGAGATAAGTATCACTGTCAATTTACTTCAAAACAAGCACATGTGTGCAAAGTAGATCAGGACGTGCATATGAAATCAAATGCGCGCTAATATGTCAATAAAATCAATTTAATAATTCAAAAACTCGCAAGCAAACATATTTGAATCTATTTTTTCCGATATTCTGATACGCGTACCTTTGGGCATAAGAGAATATACCCAGGCTATTGATCAATTACTATCGCTACACAAAAATTAGTAAACTTCCTTCTCTGATTTCCACTTTATCCACTATTGCTCCAGTTTTTTTGCCAGCTCATCAACACTGATGATAGGCATACCACAAGTGAAATTTTCACAGATGTGTATTGCGGGCGCGGGTTCGTTCTCTTTTTCGGGGTCGGATCCAGCGGCAGATTGGAGAATGCTACTTACTACGTCATTACGCGTAGACAAAAGTTTGGATTCGGGTGTGGCATGCATCATTACGCGATTGGGAATAAAGTGGGATTTAACCTTTTGATCAAATTGTTGGATTAATGCATCCCGCAAAGGACCGACAAGGACTATCTATGATTCACATTGAAGGTAACGATAAGTTTTGAAGTGTCCAAAGATATATAGCATAGTTAATGTGATATCACCAGACTCACTTGTTTCGTTCCTTCCAAATTCATCATTAATGCAGACACCATTGTTGGAATGGAGTAAGGATATTTCTCTAGTAACTTGATGAATGACTTCAAGGTACTTTCCGCCCTCTCATTGTAGTCTGAGTCCATCACCAGACCGGCCAATCTGATTAGGTTGGATACGGTAACCGAATTTCTAAAGTAGATGTCGTAAGGCGTGTGAATATGTATACATGTGATTGATTTAAACCCGAAGCGATCGATCAACTGGCTTACGGTGATGGTTCTGCCCCATCGTGTTCTGCGATATAGCCACGAGTCTTGTTAGAAAGAATATCCATGGATTTGCAATATCGACAACATGCTAGACTCTCTTTCCGAACAAAGATGGATTGGACGTTTGCCACTAACCATTTTTCATCCTCAACAGAACGTTCTTTTCTCCCGAAGGAACATTGAAATATCCACCCTTCCCTTCGTTGTCATAGAACAATTCATCCTGTTTATCTTGCAGCTCAACCGCCCAGGAAAGATATTCCTCATTGAAGGTAGACTCATATAGATCCAACAACCCTGAACGAATTGCAGATTAGTCTGCAGTATCAATGCTGCAAGCTCAGTATAATTAACGCAGATCAACATACCTTGAATCAAGAAACTGACAGCCATCCAATAAACCGATTTGTGTATACAAAAAAGACAAGATATCTATTCATAAGCTTCATAACCTTTTCAATCAATTTACGCATACTTACCTATAATCATCCACAAATCCGTTAACACTACCCGGGCCTTCCCGATAGCTTCTCAACAAGACTTTCCGCTCTGTATGGTACATATTTTTCCGCAAGAAAGTTACAGCTGACTCGGCGAGATCAAGATATCTTTTATCTCCAATCGCGTCATATGCTCTTGATAATCCTGAAATCATCAAGCCTAAATTCGAAAAACAACGTGAAAGCTTAAATGAGTTGGCATTAGAATTTTAAAACAAGTATTTAGCCGAAAACAAACGGTCAATTTATTACCGTTCCAGGCAGTCAGTACTTTGTCATCTCGATGTGGTTTAGACCTATTCTCTACTCGGTATTTGAATAGTCTCTCTTTGGATGTAGATAGTATTTGGTTGACTTCATCAGGTGTCAGGTTAAATTTCTCGGCTGCTTCTTCAACCGTATGTTTCTCGATTAATACATTCTTTTAATGCAAAACTGTTGTCAGTTTACGGTAATATATCACAAAGGCTGAATAGGATGTTGTGCTTTTACCATTATTACCTTGTCGGTCAGTTCACCTTGAATATCGCTAGCTGGATCTACATTGCCCGAAGGCTTCACGCCAAAATAATAACAAAACAATTGGGCATGATCTCGGCCAAGAATATTATAAATTTCTGATTCTTCCCATACTGCGAATGCACCCTCTGACGTTGATCACATCAAAAATCAGTATTGCAGGTCGGCTCCTCATTGGTTATGCACCGCAATGGTATAATGTATGTTACCCAGTTTATGTGGAGCCCCATCATATGGATATGAATCAGCATCTTCCGCCGAATAGAATCCACCATTCTCAGCATCTCGTAAATCTCGTTCCACGTACTTGACGATATCTCTGGCGATCTGGTGAAAATTATTATATGTATTTAAATTTCTAAACACGTTGGGCATTTGATGGCGCGTTGTCTGACGCTAACTTACGTCAGCAAAATAATCTTCTTTGGTGATTAAGTAAACGTCGCTGTAAGTCGCAAGCAGTTGAGCTTGGTCATAAAGCTGATAATGGGATTAAGATACAAATAAGTGAGTCGTAATTTGGGGTAATACTGAACACGGATATTTTTTTTTACCATCTTTTCAAAATGCGGAACGTGCCAGTATCTGTCTGTCGAATATCTGCATATGATATATTGTCGTAATCATCCGGATTATAATTGTATTTCACCATGAAAAAAAAAAAAGAGGCTGAAAGAGCACCTGTGAAATCCATTTCCGACATGATCTAAATCGATTGAACGTCAAACAGTAATTATAACAAATAAATAATATCCATTTTTCGCAACGCTTACCGTGTATCCCACCTCGCGCAATTTTCTAAAGTATTATGAAAGTTAATCATACATTGAGTAACTCATAGAATTAAATCATATACCTCATCTTTATTGGCACATGCATTCCTTTCAATTGTGTAAATCACCTTTAAAGTAAACTTGACCATATCAATGGCTTTGTCGGCATCTTCTTTTCTTGCCTGCACAGTCGACTTCAATTTATCCACGAATTCAGATTTTTCTATGCATCCTTTAAAATCGACTCCTAACTGTTCGCCACGATTACGTATCTCTGATACAGTCATGCTGTCGTATGATATTTGTACATGTGATAGACTCTGTTGCATGTAGTATGCATAACGTAGGAGGAAATGAAATTGTACTGGAGTCGGAAACTTTGGTGCACCTGGATTTGGGGATAAGCATTATATGAAGCCACTTATTAACACATACATCCGTTATCAATAGCAACTGAATCACTAATTCACGCATTTGGCGTTAATCCAGTGTTTGCTAATTCTTTAGACGTTTACCGCCGAATCCTCCCTCAACCGCGTCAAACGTTCGTGCAAAGTGTTTATAACACTTGTGGGCTGCCTGTATAGTTAAATGACTTGTACTTCCACCTTCAACCATAGACTGTCAAAAAAAGAAGTTGTTGATTGATTAAAGAATTTTAACCATCATAATCAGAACCATAATTCGTGTAAACATGTTACTAACTATAGAGTCGCGTAGTTGTGAGATGACACTCTCCCCTGAACGCCTCAATGCGTCCGGTTGTTCTCGCCACCTACAATAAAAATAACGATAAGAACAGTTACCATCGAGTCAACTACGCCAAGCGAACTCGATAAATGCCAAAACCACCATCCTTACAGTTGTGCTATACGACGCAGTAGACTGTGAAATCCTGGTCTATTGCGAATATGATGTAAGTTGATATTATCTTGATAACACGCTGCGACATCAACAGTTCAATGTTAGGCTCACCTGCCGCCTTTGTCTTCTGGCGGAAAATATGTTCCTCCAAAAATAGCTATAATTGATAGGAGAAGGTTGTGAACAAATAAATCGCGCGCCCCGTCCATTACGCGATTTGAACGCATAATTACTTACGGTACAGTTCGGGCTAATTAGGACAAACGAAGAACAATCAGCCTCATGCAGGACTATATCATAGATTCGACAAGAGCGCCTTTCCCTTACTTACTGTGAGAAAGACGGACATGGGCCATCCTCCACTACCCGCTGTTGCTTGCACGAATGTCTGTAAGCGAAAATGAGTTAGCAATGACCAAACATGTAATTATGGAATTGGGCGAGGAATAATAATAATCACCATATAAATTTGGTCGACATCAGGATTAACTTCTCTAATAATAATATTTCCAATGAAGATGTAGACATTATCTACACCTAAATAGCAATTGGCTATATATGACTCTTACCTATCAACTAAAAATTTCAAACCAGTTTCAGTTCAGATTCGATGGGATTGTCAATCAGGTCTGCTTCTTACCTTTGATGTTTACAAAGTACTCGTTCATCGTCTTGGCTATTTCTTCATTTTCAAACGACTCGTGTGCCTCCATAAATACAAAAAAAAATTCGGTAAACATACGATATAACTTCTTGTTTGCAATCTCAAATAGTTCTTACCATTACATGACACCAACTTTGTAAAGGATTTGAAACGTTTCAAAGATTATTAACAGCCGATTCACGCACGCAAATAGAGAAAGGAATCAACAATGTAATACTCATTACTGGCATGTGCTATATCCAACACTTAGGAATATAGGCATATTATCTCTCTTGGCTTTCTCGAATGCCTCCTCTCCCCACGGATACCAATCGACTAATGAGTAAATGTTTAGCGATAAGTTAAATGTAAAAGCAACTCGCCCAGATACCCAAATTTACTTACCAGGGTTATCTGCATGTTGCTATTCGATATGCAAAAATGTAAATCAAACAAAATATAAGCAATGCTTTTCTTTTTCTTTCTTTTCGGTATCGAACCAAACTCTCGTAAATGAGATTGGGACGTTCAAGTCTGTCTTATCTCACCCACAAGATCATTTACAGATCATGACTATCCGCGAATTCCAACACCCACCAATAGATAAGGACTTTTCTCATCCTTTAATCGGTTCGAATACTTTCTACTTCCATCAGCAGCCATTGTCATAGAAACCAAATTCCTTGCGTTTCCTAAGATCAAATGATTGTTGGCCCCAAAGTTCCAATATTTTGGAGATCTCGCAAGTCTAGACCAAGATGATTGTGTACAATGAGTAATCACTGGTCTGAAAATAAAGTTGGTGAAATACTTGTTGCTCAGTCTCGATCCAATGTTTAACCCTACAAAAACAGAAGGGTGGGTCATCAGATAGATTGAATCAGTTGTTGGAAATAGTCATTTATAAGCATAAGAAATTGGGGCATAAACATAACGTCACCATAAGAATTTCAGGGGGCGTTAACGTTTTTTGTTGAACATTGATTTACCGAGATGATCATATGCGTGTCATCATAATCACTAATCATTTAGCAATTTAATCAACTAACGATCGAGCGTTTCCTTTTCTATATTTTGCAATAATTGTATGTCATCAGCGTTCAATGCAAGCAAACTGATCCATTTTAATTTGATTATGTTAGCTAAATGTAAACACGGCTGATGTGGCTGGAACATCGAAGAATGTGAATGTCATGCCGATCACTTTTGCCCAGGAATACTAATACATTATTATTATCGTTGTTTCAAACTAAATGGGGCAAAATAGAATTTTACTGCTTAGTTTGACAAGATTTTAGATGAAACACGCGTAAATCGTGTACACCAAGTACAAAATATTCTATACTAATACACGTGTGTTACGTTGATAATTCATAATCCTTTCATATTCAGAAAAATTGTAAGCTTTATATTTAATAATAGCTTATACACAAAATTGATATAATTATAATTACAGTTTTAAATTAATTTATGCCCGAAATGTAACCAGCATTCAACTTATTATTATTGATTTATTGCCTAAAATTACAATATGCTTAATATAGGATTATCTCTATAAATAAATATATTGATATGAAACTAATTTACATCAAGTACTAAAGAATTACAACACTTAAACCCCATTCCAAAAAAAGAACAAGGAGAAAAAATTGCTCTATTATGTACTAGTACCATAACCCTCCACAGACAGTGCATACAAAGTTAAATAAAGAAGTTAGGAAAAAACTTCTGAAGAATACTAAATATAAAGATACTATAATAATAACTATGGTGCATAAAAGGATGGGGGATATAGATACAGCTAGACAAATTTATGATATTTTCAGTAAAATTGGTGAAGATATAATTAAGCAGATCAAATTTTTTACTGCATCCAGTTTTTCAGATTTTACCCAGAGATGAGGTTATTTACTAATACTAATACAGTGTGTAATGGCAATTAATATTAATATTAAGTAATAAACATGCTTTATATATCTTATAATGAGGTTATATTGATACAGTATTCTTTCACCATTATTTTTTATAATAATAACCAGTTCACATCTTCATTAATTATCTCATTGAGCACACTAAATTAATTGTCACACAATCAGGGATTACATTCCATTCTTATTCTTCAGCCATAAACTGTATTAATGGTAATATTAATTCACTACAATTTTTGGCATTCTTTTTTCTACATTTGTTTTGACTAAAGGTCATAAATTTCTATGGAATTTAAGTCTGGACTATTTTGGAACATTGTCCCCTGAGCAAGACAGCTTGTGTGCTTAGGATCATTGTCCTGCTGAAACTGCCAGTTCTTTATATTTCCAGTATTGTACAGATATCCAGAAGCTGATTCTCCAGTATTATAATATAGACTGACTGATAGTCTTTGCAATCACAGGTAATATTTTCTTTGGTTGACTGCTCCCTTTCTTATGATTAAGCTTGCCATTATTTTTGTCTAACTTTTTGAGATTATTATAAATTGTTTGCATGGGAATCTTTGTGGCTATGTGAATTCCCTTAGTATTAGCTGAGCATACCTTGATGTTCCAACAATGTGTAATGGTCTCCACATTTTGTATTCATAATTCAAACTTAAACTTGATTTAGTCATTTGCGATTGAATTTGACAGACAAAAGTTAAGATGGTTAAAAAAAGACAAACTAAAATTTTTTTAACTGCTTGAAAACAAATTAAAATGTTAGTGTTCAATAAAAAAAACGCGAAACAAAAATAATCCTATATTGTAATTGGGTAAGGTATACTAATACGCGTTCAAAGTGTTTTTACTTTTTTGCCATTTTTTGTTACACACTGTACACTATAAAAAGTTTCCCTTTTGTAAGTCTCATGAATAATAAAGTGAGTATGTCAACATCTGCTAATGATTTCGCGTGATACTGTTCCGGCACTGACTGTTACTATTACTATATTATTATTATGACTCAAGCCCTTGGAAAAATTATATTGTTCAGAGGCAAAAGCCTCCTCGCTCCGCGAGACGTATTTCTTAGATTCACTGCCTCCAGAGTACCAAATATAATGTACTTATGACGCCTTAGCCGAGGCTAGAACTTTGAATATCATATAGACTAATTTATGCAATATAATATAATTATAACTTGAGTATCGCGCGTAACATACTTTGTAACCAATAAACGCATGCGGTAATTAGTCGAATTGGTTTAACACCTCTGCTCATAAGACAGAACAATCAAGTCGTCGTCACACAGACGAAGGGGAGCTTCTTCTCTTCATTACAGCATCGGGCATCGTCAATATCGAGTGAATTTTGAATTAGTCATGTGCTTGCTGCGCCTGTGAACGCGCGATTGCATACGGCAACGTGATATGCAAAGAAGCACGCAATGGACGCGGATTACTCACTGGGACTCATTGCTTTTACTATGAAATATACTCGAGACTTTCAAGAAGCAACTGAAAAGGAGATCGGGAATGCATACGAAGCGTATAAAGTCTTCTACGCTAAACACCATCAGGACCACCCTGGAACAACGACGGACTGTTATGCCGAATACCTTCAAACCCTCGGCAAGCAAGGTAAGCAAACACGTTTATTGGGAGGAGAAGAGTTTGAATACTGTTACTGGTTTTGTGCTATATTGCAAGAGGGAGAGAGGCAGTTGGGCGTTATTAGTTGGCCGTACGGCGGGCAGAGCTGCGTCGTAGAGACATTACGGGGTTCGTAGCAGTCTTGGAGGCGGTACCGCAGAGAGTAGTTGGAATGCATTACGACATACGTTGGGAGGAGTGTAGAATAGAGCTTAGTAAATGACAGAGGAGCTAGGTTATATGGAGAGAATATTTCGAGTGCATTACGACATGCGTTGGGGTTGGGACATAGAGCAGAGTCGTAGCAAAGGTTAGGTTATACGTAAACTCGTTTGAAAGGGCGGAGGAGACAAGGGACGTTATGGGTTAAATTGAGAAACAGAGGAAGAATAGTTCGAATGCATTACAACACGCGCATTTGGAGGAGCATAGAATAGAGTATAGTAAATGGCATTACAACACACGAGGGGACAGAGTAATGTGTACATAGGGTAGAGTAGACGTAGTAAACACATAGAAGAGAGTATATATCCCAACTTACGTGATTTCTTTAGATGCTGGACATCATTCAAAAAAAGCCCGTATCGATATGATTAGCAAGGATGATTTACTCCGGGCGCTCAAGGCGTTCAAAGATACGGAGGATTGCCAACATAATTCTTTCCGAGAGGAGGAAGAACTGAGAGATGAAAACTTGATTGCCGCTCGGGTGTGTTCATCTGTCCGTTTATATGAATGTGTAGTCCACTAATCTATTCTTGATCCACTGCTGCTCTATTCATTTCTTTCTGTACATATACATAGGAACCTCTTGCAGTTATTGGTAATCAGCTGCCCTTCACAGGCCGGGAGGATGAACTTGAAGAGCTCCGTAAATGTATCGATAAGAACATTGAGTTATGGAGAATGCGCAATGTGAATCTAACAAATTTTAGCATAAGGACAGAAGAGCAATTTAAGCATTCATACAGACACCCAGTAGTAGCAGGAGGTCCTGGACGGGGCAAGACAGCTCTGATGACGCGCGGCTTGATGTTAGTACGCAGTCGATTGCAGGAGCCGCACATTTGGACAAACCGTGCGTTCGCCTGGGACCTCCAGAGTAGCCAGCTGCAGGCGCAAGAGCTTGAACTACTGGGGGACGCTACGTTAGCGAACGTCTCAGGTGGTCAGAGTGTTTTAGCGTCAAGAATTTTGCACCAAGCAGTCAACGGCAATCGACCATATGCTGATTTCCTCGCTGAGTTTGTTATTCACCTCAAGACTCATGGGATTCTCCTATCTGATGTCACTCTTGATGCTGTGCTCGACCATGTGGTTCAGCCAGCAATGACATCATCTTTTTCTTCCTTGCGGTTGACTACATCAACAGAATTGAAACCATTAATTGTACTGTTTCATATCAGCGAAACGAATGTACTGTTACCAGAGCAAGGGCCTTACACGAGAATAGAATCGTTAATGAAAGCTGTATACGAGTTTAATAGTTCTGGCCGTCGTTGCATGATAGTCTTAACATTTGATGGCACGCATCGTGCAGAGCTATTGAACGCATTTGAGGTAAGTGGTATACGGTGTGAGATGATCACACTGCGCCGAACAAAAGCCGAGACATATGCGCAGATTTTGCAAGCACTTGTTAAGAAGGCAGTTGCATCAAACTTGATACGGGATAAAGATCTTCAGACATTTTCGCCACCAGAGCAGCTCAAGATCGCATTTGCAGCCTGCGGAGACAACATACGATTGTTCTCGCTCTTGATATACGAGATTGGTCGCTATGACACCACTATACGCAAACTGAATTGGATAAAGTTCTTTGAAAACCTATGTAAGCGCAGCAGTGACATTAGCATTGTCGCCAAATGGATGAATGGGGTAGGTGATCTGGTCAGAAAACATTACAAAAAATACACTGAAGCTCTCTTCAACCTTGATTCCCGTCAGATGCTACGTGTTATAGCTCCTGCACTCCTGGGTAGCGAGTTCGACGATACTCCTAAGACTTTAGTGCTCGGCTCAATATACACTTGGGAGATGCTTGAAAAATATGGAGCAATCAGCTTATACGGCCCACGTCGATCCCGTGTTGAGATGCCATACATGCTGCTGCAAGTCTACCTTGATGAGTTTGTCCAAACCAACGATTCGATTATAAAGTTCATCCACTCTCTGAACGAGCTCACCGGCGAGTCACACTTCCGCCAAAATGAAAAGTGCGACATTGCAGTCATTGTACTTCAGCTCTTCCAGTGGCATTTCAATAAACCGAACTATACCCGCCTTCGTCTTAAAGACTTGTTTCCGACACTTGAAGGCATAGCAGCTTACACCTATGTAAATTTACCTGATGCAATACAAAACGTTAGTCACCTTGATCATTGGCCAAAGATATTGGCCCGCCATTTTGATCCACAGAAAGATCTCGAGGAAGGTGCATACGTAGGCGCAGGCAATGATGAATTTGCTGATTCGTGGGTTGTGTTCAGACGTGAGGACAAGAAGGGAGTCGTTGTTCTTGCCATTGAGAGTAAACGCCGTGCGACTACGGAGAGGCTTACTGCCGAATACTTTAATGCGCATAAGGAAAAGGTACATGGCTTTGACCCCCATATGTTCTGTGTAAGTACTTTACTACATTACAATTTGTTTTGTGAATTAGGTTAAGAAGAAACTGCCGAAAGGAACATTGTATGTGTTTGTAATGGTGGCGGATATGCGTGGTGAAAATGTCACTGCAGACAATGATGAAATGATCATCTGTAAAGAGAATATGGAAGAATTGTATGGAAATTGGCTTGCCCAATGCCGTCATTTCAGTCTTGTATTTGACAAGCGTACTAAGTGACTTTGAATCCAATAAAGATTTTGCATTAATATCAGAAGTAATTATTGTGTCATCATATATCATTATCTGCTTGTCTCAGTATTTTGTCGCAGTACTAGTGTCAAATGGTTATGCCAAACTGATTTGTATGAGATCTGGTTGGTAAATACTGGCGTAAATTTGTACATAAAACGATAAAATTTATATATAGGAATACACGTGTGTGGAAAGTTACAATTATAATAGTTCGACTGAATATGAAAAAGCAATGCGTTTCTTGGAGATAGGCTGTAAATGTGGTTGCTCAAAAATGATTCCAAGAGAAAGGTTTGCCGAATTACGTGAAGCGTTTCAAGCTCTCTCTAGATCCGAACAATATTTTTAATGGCTCAGCTGAAAGCGATGAATGGTGGAGAAATAACTGCCAGTCGACGTCTTAAAAAGAAAACGCGTACTAATAAAAGAACTTTTTACTGCTGAGATCGCAATACGCCGCTTTGTCAAAAAACGCATCTCAATATGTTAGGAATTGGTCGCACGCACTTCGAAAATGTCAGAAATCACCTAGCAACGAATGGTATAATACCGCGCGTTCATGGTAACATAAAACGAATGCCGCGATGGAAAACCAAAATAACCATTGATATAACCGTTGCTACTGCCGTGAAGAATTTTCTCGAGAATTATGCAGAAATTCATGGACTACCAAGTCCTGGTAGAAGTGTCAATCGCATTACTCAATCGCTTACACTTTTGCCAGCCGAAACGAGTTACAAATCGGTCTACCGTGATTTTATTGCCGGTCTTGAAAACGATAGCACATTGAAATTATTAAAATATGACGCATTCCGCAAGTTATGGCACCAATTAACGCCTTATATTCAAGTCATGAGTCCAAGAACGGATTTATGTGACATGTGCCAACATTTTCGGAACGGCTTACAATACAATGCTCGCAAAGAAGAAGAAGCGAAAGATTTATTAAAAAATTTCAAAGAACATCTGGTTAATATTAAGGCTAAATTAGAGAGAAACTATTACAACAAAAATACAAAATTAGCAGAACAACAAAAAAAATTGGTAGACGAGCAGTTTATAATAAGAGGTAAAGCTAATTATTGTAGCGTTGGCGCGACTGCTCATTACAGTTACGATTGGGCACAAAACGTTCACGTGCCCCATTCCGATCAA